TGAGTCCTCTTAGCCTTACAGTTCTATGAATGTTATAGGCTGATCTGGTAGGCATTAAACCAGTGGGAAAAAATATTAAGGCAATCCCACAAACTGGCACAGAATCATGGCAGGAATGTCATTGCAGTCAATAAGTGCACTGAGATAACCACAAGGCAGAATTTTAGGCCAGCCAGAAGTAGCATTCTCAAAGTTTGTAGGGTCTGAAGGTATTTCTTGCTGTGTTTTCACACTGCTGGAAGTTCTTAATTTGGTGGGCAGGAGGTCAGCTGTGACACCTGATGGAAACCTGCAGCTGAGACCAGTCTCAGTGAGGTAATAAATTGACATCTGACCAAACTACACCAGAAACTTCAGAGTGATGAAAGCCTCTGTTAAATACATGCCAGGAGGGAAATGCTTTGAACAAGAGGTTGTTTGGTTTGTACCTGGCAGAAAGTCAGGTACAAAGTCTCTCTCATGAATATCATATTCTGACAGACACAAAGACAACGTCCTTGCTCCCTCACAGTGGTGCTGCAGTGGCAACACAACTGGCCTTTTACCTAAAAGTTTTGGGTATTTCATTTTCAGATGATTTCAGGCCTGTTGTATCAGAGAGATCTTTTGGCCAGCACCCATTTTATTTGAAAACTTGTTTCTGATTTGAAGTATATGTCTCTTTGTTCTAGGCATTGCAGTGCCCTCCCACAATGTATTATATAATATCCTTGGCACTCTAATTAAGGAAAGAAAAATCTATCATACAGGAGAAGGATATTTCATTGTGACTCCCAACACTTACTTTATCACAAATGATGCCACAGAAGACAAGAGAAGGATCCTGTTGGAGGACAGTTGTTGCTGTTCATCACCTTCCATCACTTACCTGGTCAACATTAAGCCCTGCACAGACCTAGTGAAAGAAAGCATTCCTACAGTACCCTGTTACAGATCCTGCCATTGCTTCTCTCACCAAAAGATGCTCTGTGAACAAAGGCATCAGCAGGTGATGAGCCATGGATCTAAGGGAGAGGGAAAGAGAGGCTGCAGTGAATTGAAGTCTTCAATTCGAACTCAAGGCATCTCCACATCTGCTGAGAACCATTCCTGGGACGCCATCAAATCCCTGACATCTGTGAAAGCAAAGCTGAAAGGCAAAATGTTTGGCCTTGGCCTTTTCTGGAGAAGTGGTTCTAAGAAAGAAAAACACAAGAAAGAGTACTCCACTTTTTCAGGCCAGTTTCCTCCCCAGGAGTGGCCAGTCAGGGATGAAGATGACTTAGACAACATCCCACGTGATATTGAACATGAAATCATCAAGCGTGTTAACCCTACTCTCACAGTTGATAATTTGATTAAACACACAATATTAATGCAGAGGTTTGAGGAGCAGAAAAAATGTATCATTAAAGAGAAAAAATGCATCAGTTATGGCACCTTGGCTGAAGTGCCAACACTCAGGCAAAACCATCTTTCAAAGGATTGTATTCAAAGGGCACCAAGTAAAACAGCAAAACACACCAGGAAAACCAAATCAAAGAAGAAAAAGCAGATTAGCAGGGCCAGCAGGAAATCTCACATACAGAAGCCAACATCCCAAAATGTGAAACTGGAAGAGAGCTTTCCACTGCCCATCAAAAACCCAGAGCCACCTGATGCAGCAGTGGAGTCCCACGTGATATACAAGAAGCAGATTAAGAATCCCTTCCAGGGCCTGCCATGGAGACCTCGCAGCTTTCATGCCAGAGGGCACCAAGGTGGTGGCAACAGTCAGCTCAAGGGCCAGACTCAAAGGGGAGGAAGGGCTTCCCAAAGGCCACAGTCCTGGGCCTCCTCAGGACCCTTTGGTTGTGAAACTGAAAGGCTGCGTGCAGAAAGTGAGGCTGACAAAGCTAAGCAAAACAACCTACTCCCTGCTAAGAGGTCTGGCCTTCCATTAAAGAAAGACAGCTTCAGTGAAAATAGCAGCTGTCCACAAGGAAGTAATCTGCAAATAGATAACAGAAGTAGACACTTCCTGGAAAGCAATATTTCGGAAGAAAATGTCTATAAAAGAATAGTAAAAAAAAAATCCCCTTGCTCCTGCATTGAAGATAGTGGTGTGTGCAAAGAGGATGCAGAATTTCCATTCTACCTGGAAGATGAGCATTGCAGATGCAAAGCAGGCACTGTAAGTGAGCTCTTAGATCAAACAGCCAGTGAGTTTCAAAATGTCCATCTTTCAAATTACGTGGCCAGTGTTAATCTGGCCCCAAAAAACGGTGTGAAACACAGCCCAAAGACTGATAAAAAGAGTGAACTTCTATTTAGCTATGACTGTGCCAGCCATCCTGGATCAATGGAGCTGGAAAGGGAAGGGTTTACTGACAACTCCCACCCTCTGTACCGGAAGGGACACGATGGTGACACCTGCACCTTGGCACATCTGGATGACAATTCTGAACACCTGTCCCCTGGCCATGCCTCCTCAGACACACAAGGCTGGGGTACAGCTGTGTCCCTGAAAGCCTCTCAGGTCAGTACCTGCCCTGCCCAGCACGACACAGCCACAAATAAACGTGATATAAGGTATAAGGGGAGTGCCAGCCTTGCAGAATCACCCGATGGCTCAAAGGAGCATCCAACACCAGACTGCACAGAGGAAAGCTGGCTGTGCAGTCAGGTTCTCCTGAGAGGCCACAGAAAGGCTGAAGAAAGTGGCCTCACTGACTGTGGGAAGGGCTCAGCCGTGGCAGATTTCTGCCAGGCTGACTCTGGTGCTGGCACGTGGCAGAGCTTCACCCGTGAGGAGGGTGAAGGAGCAGCACGCTGTGCTTTGGGCTCGTGGAGCACAGAAGTGAGAGCCCCCCCAGGACAGCAAGAGCAGCTTGTACAGAATACCTGTCCTGTGAGCCCAGAACAGAACCACTCAGAAGGGACAGAAACCCACAGCATCACAGGAGACAGTGGAATCGACTCCCCAAGGTAAGAAAACACGTGACACTAAGATGCTTTATCTCCAAACTGACCATCAGATTTAGGAAGAAATGTTGCAGTAAATCACAAACTCCTTCCCCAACAACATTTGTAAAATGTTTTACATTTGTTAAAAAAAAAAGTAAAAATTACATTTGCAAAAAAAAAAAACCTCTATTTTTTTTTTAGATTTCGGTGTTATGACCCAGAAATATCCAAACTGCATAGTTCTGCTAAGTCCTTTAACATGAACATTCTCCCCAAATTGCTGCTGCATTTTGCATTTGTTTTCATGAGGCACAAGTTCTGTCTTGCAGGCAGAGATGACCAAGGACATGGTGTTTGACAAGCTGCAGTTTGCAGGCAGGTTCAGCTCACACAGATCTTGGATATTGCCATGGATTCTCCAGCTGTACATAAAGAATAGAGATCCTGTAAAATTTAAAGTGGAAAATACCATTTGACCTGCTCACAACTGACAGAATGTGTACATCACCTGAGTTTTCACAGTGTAGATTTTGCCTGTAACTACACCTGAAAATCCCTTAATGGAAAATAATTGGTATGAAACAAACTTTTACACAGTTGTACATGGAGCTCCAAAACTCAAGTAAATTGGCAAGAATATATGTTAAAAATCACATCCTTTTTTTTGTTTTTTCAGCAACAGGTCTTCTTAATATCTTAAATGAGTGGTATTTGACTGTAATTACACCATTGGAGTCCTCATTAGGGTGGTACTGTCACCTTGAGAAGCCAGAATATGAAGGAACAAACCACAAACTACAGTTCCTAAGGGAATGCTGCTCATTGTTAATTTTTCCCTTGAGCAGCTCTTGGCTGTGCACCCTTCCAAGCACATTTCCTGTGTATTACTTGGACATGAAGATTTGAAATCTTTAGCAAAATGTATTTCAGAGGATCATTTTGACTGTTTGTACCTATGCCCATCTGTGGCACTAAAAGCTAAGCCAACTCAGTACATTTTTGGAATGTGGAGTCTGACTTTCTGATAATTGTATTATTTTAGGTGGACTGAAAAGAAGATGAAGCTTCCTGCCAAAATCTAAAAGTATAAATAACAATGCAAAAAGGAGGACAAGTGAAAAGAACAATTGCAACAACATTCCTTCATTCATCTAACTCTGGTTGTGAATATTTGATTATTTTTGCAAAGAGATTGGTAAACTTTCCCCTTGTAACAAGGTAACCATGGAGCTGGTCACATCAGTGAGGCAGTCTCTAAATCAAAGCTGTTAGTTAAAACTTTTGACAGTAGTGTCTGGAGAGGTCATGTGTGTTTTGTTTGCCCTCATCTTTAATTATTTTGTGTGTGTGTCCCTGTGCTAATAAAAGTGAGAAGTGGCATTCTTTGCTCAGCCCACACCAGTGAGCTGGAGGGGGTTTGTGTTTCTCCACTGGAACTGCAGTTGGACAGGGCTGTTTCACTCTGTAACTCTGCAAAGCGTTTCCTGCTTGGGCACAGAAATCAGCGCACGCTTCACTTTCCCTGCTGGAAAACAAAACAAAACAAAAAAAAGAACAAGCTTACTACCACAATTCCTTCAGTCCCAGGGTTCTCTGGGAACTCTGCTGTGTGCTGCAGTGCTCCCAGCCCTCCTCAGTCTGCCTGCTGTGTTTGTATCTGCAGAGCAGGGTTTAGTTTTTGCACAGAAGTGCTGGCGGCAGGAGACAAGGGAAGGCCAGCGCCACTGCTGTGGGCCCTGCTCTGCTCCTGACCTTCCCATTCCCTGAGGAATCCACATCCCGGCAGCTGCCGGCATTGCTGCACACCTTTTACTTCCTAAGGCTACTTTTGATTTCTTCCTCTCGCTTTATCCCTGTAGCTACAAGCAGATTGCGCCGGGCTCATGCTGCGTGTCGCCACAGGCTTGTGGATTTTAAATCTCAGTCATTTGGTCACACTGCCCTTTCCTACTTCAGACTTTTCACTACTACTGAACGCTTCTCTGCGGTAGTAACCGAGGCTAGAGTCGCAGCCTGTAGAGGTATGGAGGTTTGTTCTGGGCGGGCAGGGCCCTGGCCGGGCCGGGCCGAGCCCTCATGGCGGGCCCGTCATGGCGGCCGCCCCCTCCCAGCGTGCGGCGCGCGCGGGGTGCGCCGGGACTTGCAGTCCTCGCGTTGTCCCCCGGGGCACGCCGGGAGTTGTGGTCCCACGCCGACGGCCGCAGGCGATTGGCTGCCGCACCGCTTGGCCCCGCCCCCGCGCTGCCGGATCCGCCGTCCATTGGCCGCCGGGCGCCTGGGCCGCTCGGAGCGTGACGCGCGGCGAGCGCGCGGCTGGTGCGGAGCGCGGCGTGGCGGAGCGGCGGCGGCGAGCGGAGATGCCCGAGGCCACCCGGTGCAGCAGCAGCAGCAGCAGCAGCGGGGCCGAGTCGGGCTCCGACTGCTCCATGGACACCGAGGGCGTCCCGGAGAGCGGCCGCCGGCGGCACAAGGTACCAGGGAAGGGCTCCGGGTACGGCCTGGCCGCGCCCGCCCGCGGAGGCCTCGGATGGCGGCCGCCCGCAGCGCCGGCGGCGCGGGCCG